AATCCACATAAGCAAATTTACTGCAAATGTACATCTAATTCACTTTTACAATATGAGCTTTAATTTAATCACAGTAATCTTGATCAAATGCTACTGGAGCTTTTGTGGCTTCTGCTCAGAGAGAAACTTGGAGGCTGAAAGTCAAACATATTTAAAGTTGGTTTTATGCGGACCTGCCCTTTAACTCGAGAGGTCAATGCGGACACAAGCACATAAATAATCCAACTGACTAATAAAGGGGTAAATGAAGAAACTAATTATTAACAAGCATGAGATTATGAGGCCTGAATGTCTTGTCGATACTGTAAGGACTGTATATGACGGCACTTTGAACTGTGCTCTGAAGACTGTCCGACAGATGAGGATACACCTGAGATAAGATAGAGACGATGAATAAGACATTAAAAATGTGTCCTTAACAGAGATTTGTCAGTGCTGAACAAAAGGGTAAACATTCCCATTTACTTTTAAAAGTCATCTTAAGAGAACTCAGATTTCAGCAGTGTTGCATCATGAACACGTCGTTTTGACCGTTTTATTATAGGCATTTAATGTGGAAGACTAAATATCAGGGTGTTTCAAAAGAGTTTGGCCTTTTTCAAACTTCTACGGCACTGCACCGTGCCAGCAATCATATTCTAACACAAAAAGGCATCTCTATTCAATCTATATGCTAAAAACATCAGTAAAGAGAGGATTTCAGTTCATCTATTGTTCCTTTGCAGCCTTGTTAATGATTAACCTGCGTTGAAAAGAAAACAACACTTTCTGCCTCCAATAAATCACTAATACGCTTCACTCAGCTCTCAGTGTTTGCTCTGCCATTAATTTAGTATTTCCCCACAAGTATTTGTTCAAGGATTTTGAAATTGCCTCTTAAATTTCAAACTACCAATTAATTCTTCTAAAGAGGACACAGCTAAAGCAAACAGATAAAATCCTCTGAGTTCATTCAAGAGGCGCATCCATTTATATATTTCGTTTAAATGTCAGAAAACTTTCCTCAGCTTTATTAAGGACAGAGCTACAAATCTACACCCATTTCCCCCTGGCTTCTTTAAACACAAATATGACTTCAAAGAAGCTGCTGAAAATGAGGGGGCGCTAGACCTGGAGGAATACACATCCTCAGTCCTGGGGTAGATTAGCAAATTTGCTGATGATGTCACCAGCATCAGACATGTTCAGAGTTACCCAAACAGGAAGTCTTGACTGAATGCAGAGGTTTGCACCCTGCTGGAAGCCAGGAACACTGCCTTCAGGTTTGGAAACTCACAGGAGCTGAAAAGGACAAGGAAAGCACTGGTCGCTGGTATTAAGAGAGCCAAGACTACATATGCACAGAGGATCCAGGGTCAATTCACCTCACAAGACCCACGGAGCATATGGAGGGGCATTAAGTGTATAACAGATTATAAAGGCAGAAGTGAACAATGCCCTAGAGACCCAACACTGCCTGATGCCCTCAACAAGTTCTATGCACGCTTTGAAGACCCGAACAGACCACCCAGCACCAGACTCACCTCACCACCGGATGAAGAGCTTCTCAGCGTGACCTCAGCAGAAGTAAGGAGTACTTTCAGGAGGATTGATCCTCACAAAGCAACTGACCTAGACAACATCCCTGGGGAGGTGCTGAAAGACTGTACCGATCAGCTCTGCGAGGTGCTGTTCAACATCTTCAACATCTTCATTTACCCTGGCAGCAGTTACAACCTGCATGAAGACCGCAACCATCATCCCAGTCCCAAAGAGCTCTACAGTGACTGGTCTGAATGACTATCTAGTAGTAGTCCTCACCCCGATAGTCGCTAAATGCTTCAAAAAACTGGTCATGACCCACATAAAAACAACAATCAACATCAACGAGGACCCTCACCAGTTCCATACCACGAGAATCAATCAATAGACAATGCCATCTCCTCTGTGGTCTGCACTGCTCTCACCCACCTGGAGCAGAAGGACACTTACGTTTGTCACATCTCTCTTCAATACCATGATCCCCCAAACCCTGATGGACAAACTACTCACACTAGGACTAAGCCCATCCATTTGCAACTGGGTCCTGGGCTTCTTAACAAACAGATCACAGTTAGTGAGGATCCGCAACTTATCTTCCTCCATAAACATACCCCTCAGCACTGGCTCCTCTCAGGGATGTGTGCTGAGCCCTCTCCTGTTCACTCTGCTCACATATGACTGCACCTACCCATCCAGGCTGCCATATTGTAAAGTTTGCAGATGATACAGCGGTGGTGGGATGTATCACAAACAATGATGAGTCCAGCTGCAGGCAAGAGGTAGAAAATCTAGAGAGCTGGGGCAGGAAGAACAACTTCCACAAAAATGTGAAGAAGGTGAAGGAGATGGTCATGGACTTCAGAAGGACCCCCCACCCCCTGAACATAAGAGGATCTGTGGTAGAGGTGGTCTCCAGCTACAAGTACTTGGGTGTGCACCTGAATGACAACCTCAGCTGGATCAACAACACCACCAACCTGATCAAGAAGCTCATCTGAGACTTTACTTCCTCAGGTGGCTGAGACGAGCTGGACTAGGAAGCTCAGGCTCAGTCCTCACCTCCTTCTACAGGTGTGCAGTGGAAAGCATCCTGTGCTCCAGCATCAACGTGTGGCATGGAGGCTGCACAGCTGCAGAAAGAAAAGCTTTGCAGAGAATGGTGAAGGCTGCATCTTGAAAGACCCCACTCACCCAGCACACACACTTTTAGCCCCGCTCCCCTCAGGAAGGAGGTTAAGGAGCATTAAGTGTAGAACCACGAAACTGAGGAACAGCTTCTACCTTGAAGCTGTTAGACTCATGAATATCTAACCAAGATAATCACTGTGAAAAATCACATCATGTTGCTGCTGATCTGTTTCATGTTGATGTGTTCATCTGCTCACACAGACTCATGTTCGTGCTGCTGTTGGGTGTATTATTTTTATACTACTAGTGCTGAGTGTATTTTTAGTTAATGTTTTTCTTAGTTCATGTTTTAGATCTTATTACTGTTTTTCTTTTACATTTTAATACTTTTGTTGGATGTAATTGGGATCCTGTGTAGTACACAATTTTGTTCCACCACATGTGGTGTGTATGACAAATAAAGAACTTTGAACCCATGAATTCTTGATTCCTTTTATGCTGAAGAAAAAATCCCTACCGTATTCCAAGTCTTTTAAACTTTTAGTGCAATTGTTTTAAAAGAGACTATCTGTATTTCAGATAAAAAGAGGTGTGGGGGTTAAAACTATACTTTATGACTGTAATTTCGGAAGGCACGTGAAATGTCATTAATTTTGGGCGGGAGTAGCGTTCTCCAAATATAGCTACAGCCAACAAATCAATGTTCAAATGTTCAGGTTTGACCGGATGAGAGAAAAAAAGCCCAGAGTCAGAGCTCACACTCCCAAAATGTATTCCAGACACAGATGAAGCAAATCGAGCTCCTGACAGGGGCAGAAGTTGTTACTTTTAAATTTTAATACACAGTTAACTCCCAAGATGGAAGACGCCCTTGAGGTTGTAGCACTTTTTTCAGGTTTTGTAGGCTGGGTGTTGGTTTATGTCTCTCTAGAGGATCATTACTGGAAAGAATCTACCCAAGATGGGAGTGTAATTGTAACCTCCACGGTCTACGAGAACCTGTGGATGTCTTGTGCAAGTGACTCCACGGGGGCTTACAACTGCAGAGACTTCCAGTCACTTTTTGCTCTCCCAGGTAAGTCAAAGCAGAAACTAATGGCTTATTTCTAAGAAATGATTTGACATGATGTGAGCTTTGAAATGTAGCTTATCAGTTGTCTGCAGGGTGAAACAGATGACTGCATAAACTATGTACCGTAGTTTTAAGAAAAATGCTTATTTAGGAAATTTGGAAACTGAATGAGTTTCATAGCTGTTTGCTTTAAACACTCAAATAACTAGGATAAGTCATTTGTTCAACTAAAACAAATATATATATATATTTTAATGTAAGTAATTTTCCTTACCATCATCTAAAAAATGCTATTTAAAATAGGACTTTTGCCAAAACAAAAAAAAAGATGCCAGTTTATCTGTTATATGCATGTAAATAAACATGTGTTAGATTATATAATGTAAAAAGTTGATTATGCATTTTTAGATGTAAAAAAAAAATCTTAATAAAAACACAAAAATTGCATTAGACTTCAGTGTTGCAGATGATTGCGTCAGCTCACGCTGTTTTAAACTCTGGTTGGCAAAAAAATCCTATAGATATTTTAATGTCATTTAAAAGTGTTCAACAAGATCTTGGTTTGAGACGTTCATAAAATCATCAAAAACATAAAACAATGAAGCTGAACACGCCATAGTTCTCGTGTTTAACTTAAAATCTGTTGGAACCGGGTAAAAATTTTAGAAAAACAATGTTTGGCTGCTCCGCTTGCCTTGGTACAAGATATTACAAAAATAAATAAAAAGAAACACGTCTGGGTTTCTGCTGCTTTTCCAAACCAAAGCTCTCTAATAATGATGCCGGTACAGCAAACACTCCTCTGCGTTGGCCACCTAACCAGGTCAACTCAAGGTCAGCATTACCATTAACTACGTGCTACAGAATTTCCCATCATCCCCTTCGACACACGGTGTCAGAACTAGACTTGAATCCGATTCATAACTGTTTACTGTTGTTGACAAAGTGCTCACAGCAAATGACCGATGCTGTCAAGTTTGGTCTATAAGACACTGGCAGGTCTGAAAGACTTGGACACTTTGTCTTGTAAGTTGGGTACACCTTGAGTCCTTTTAAAACGGTTCAATTGAAGAGAGAATACCGTGGAAATCACAAGTGGACTATTTGAAATTAATAATTGATTTGTAGGTTTTTGTAATGCTTTGGCTCAGGGATTGTTGGGAATTGGTACACGTGTCCAACAGACCCTGGTGTTAGGGGAAGTAGAGATAGCCTGGACGGGTGACGCTTGTACTATGTGGATAGTTCCAATCCAACCGGACAGAAGAAGCGAGGCACCATGAACATGATAGTGGAAGCTGTTGCCTGCTTTTTGGGATTTTTGGGCTGGCTGATGGCTGGTGTGGCCATTCCAAATCGATACTGGAGGGAGTCTTCGTTTGATGGTAATGTTATTACCATGTCTTCCGTCTACGAGAATCTCTGGATATCCTGCGCAACTGATGCTACTGGAATTCACAACTGCCGGGATTTTCCATCTCTGCTTACACTGAATGGTATGTGTCCACCATCAAGAAAAAAGCAACTTTCACTCACATTTTTATTTTTATTGACGGTACCTAACAAGCTTAAATACCATTCACTCGTTCAAGAAATCTGGATTTATGAGTCTGGGACAGGGGAAACAAGACTTTACTCATAAACCAAATTATCATAACTGGTGTGAAAGTAACACAGGAGTTGAGACAAAGTTGTAAACTCTGGTATGTAACTGGAGCATGCTCGCCCCAAAATTGTACAACTATGGTCCTAGAAATATGAGATAAGATGGGAGAGGGCATGACAAATGTAGCTGTAATAAAATCAGGTGGGAGAAAAACATTTGTAATAAACTTTTAAAGAGCTTTCTCGGAAATCAGCGCTCATTAAACCGCGGTATGTTGATTTTGGTTTACAACCTTTTGGTGTAGCAAATAAAAAAAACATATTTTTATACTTTTACTACAATGGCGTTCCAAAGTCACAAGAGGAAAGTGTTGTGTTGGTCATGTATTCAGTTTGGTGTTACATAAGCAACCGAAGATAGGACATCAAGTATTTAAACGGTTATAAACTCGGAGATAATTTGTTTTATTCTCCAGGAGCTCATCTCGTCACAGACAGAGGAATATTTAGCAGTTCTGACTTCTGAGACCAAACTTTTCTCTGTCGCAGCAAACCTGAACTAAATATTTTTTTTTAAACATGTTTTACCTGCTCGTGGTTTAATATTTCGACCGTTTGAAGCTGCTTTTGTTGGAAAATAAGTGACTGATTAGCCTTAACGCTATCTGTGGGACTCGAGGGGGTTCACACCTTCGCTGGACAGCACTTGCTCAACAGCGAATCATGAGGCTAAACATTACAACTCCACACAGCATGTAAAACTGAAGCTTGTGTTTGAAACTAAAGGAATTCTTTGGGTGTTTTTATTAAAACTCTAGGTAAAATTCATAAACATAATAAAACCACAACTTGTATTGCGCTTAAATACATCTTGAGACACGCCTCAGTAGCTGTGTGTGTTCATATCTTTGCTGCATTTATCATTGATCACAAAGTTTCTGTTAGGGGAATTTAGGTAAAGGTTATGGATGTTTATTAGTAACTAGTGTTAAAGTAATGTGTGTGAGTTAGAGTTGATTGTGTGTCTGCAGGAGCACAGAGCCTGCAGACCTGATGAACTCTAAAGCTGTAAGCTGGAAAGCAGAGGTTGTCTTGACCTCATCTGTCTGATAAGCATTATAAAAATGCACTTCTTTATACGGCCCGTACGCAGGCAGACATCACAACCAGAGCCTCAATGCAACACCTGTGGAAGCCTGTTTAGACTTCTGCCTCCTTGCCAGTAAAACTGGGTTGAAAAGCTCTTGTACCCTCAGTGTGGCTTATTTGAGTAATGAGATGATGAAAGGATAATTAATTTATCCAACAGTTTCTTCATGGGATCATATTAGAATCAAATAAATGATGTTTTGTACCATTTATTTTGTGCACTCAGGGTACGTTCAGGCCTCCCGGGCACTGATGATCACCTCCATCGTGTTTGGGATGTTCGGCCTCGCGGCCTGTCTTGTAGGAATGCAGTGTTCTAAAATAGGTGGAGAAAACTACGTTCTGAAGGGGAGGATTGCAGCAGTCGGAGGAGTGTTCTTTATACTTCAAGGTAAACATCTGTGACACCAGCTGTTTCACAACAACCAGAATAGCCTGTGTGCTATCTTTATTGTGGTTTTGTTACACTCGTGTGTATCCGGTTTCCAATCACCAAAAACAATTATTAAAAAGGTTTATGGAAACCTCCATGTACCTTTTGTTCGGTTGTTTTAAGAACTTTTACCTTCAGCTCACATTTACGGAAATCACCTGGGTGAGTAAACATGTCTGCTGCTCTTTGTGTACAGAAGACAAGCTATCAGTAAATAGCTGACCCAATGGTTGTCCCAATTCACAGAGAGGCTGGTATTAACGCTGTCAAGGACAAAGTCACACTGTGTAAAATACAAGATTAGGAAACTGGGCAGATTAAAATCCCATCAAGAGCTTTAGGTGAAACACTCGACCTCAGAAAGTCAAGAACTAAGATACAATGATTTATTGTGAAGTTAAAGCTAATGTAAAAAACTGCTGCTACTAGTGATTTTGTATACGTATTAAAACAAATCTTTAAATAAGAGATGCGAACTATATGCCTTTTTTAATGTTTGTTAATGTGGATTAGCTGCAGCAGCAATTTTGAAGCAGGTTCAGTTCAAAAGGTAATCTGTTGTACGTGTATGTCCAATTTTTTTTTTTTTTTGGAAAGGTTTTAGGCAGATATGAAGAATGGTGACATCTGCTGACAAAAAATGGTACTACACAAACAAAAAAAAAAAAAAAATAATAATAATCCCAGGGTCTCCGAGGGTTCGCATTTGGGCGGGCGATTTCAACCCCACAAAAACAAAACCCTTTGAAATACAATAGTCCCTCGCTACTTTGCGGTTCGTTTATCGTGGACTCACTCTATCACGGTTTTTCAAAATAAGATTGGACATGACACACAAGTGGCTGACTTATTGATGAGCCGCACGATCGGCATGGAATTTTCATTTTAAATGAATTATTTTAAATTATTTAGCACCTGCTGCAGCTTTGTGCAGCCCACAGCTGCAGTAAAAGCTTTATCCTGTACCTTTGTGCTGCCCATACTGCAGGTAAAATTCCTGCTGCAGCTGCTCAGCTGTTCACCGTGCAGAGCGGAGAAGTGGGCGTGGCCAAGAGCGCTTGCAGGAGGCAAAGAGCAGAGGAGGCAGGGAGCTGAGATCATGAAGTTCTGTGCTCTTTTAGAGCGTGTAGAATATTGTAAGGGTTTAAAACACATATATATATATATATATATATATACATACATACATATACATATAAAAAAATAAAATAATAAATAAACTACTACTTGTACTATTATTCCTACTTTGTAGTTTTTCACTTATCGCAGGTCTTCAGAAAATGGATCCCCCGCGATAAACGAGGGACTACTGTACTTTCTTGTCATTATTGGAAAAGTTTTAGGCAGGCATGGAAAACGGTGACATCTACTGGCAAAAAAATGGCATTATGTGAATGAAATTAAAAATAAATTGAAAAAATCCCAGGGTCTTGGAGGGTTCAGGCTTGGGCAGGTGATTTTAAACCCCCTTCTTCCAAGAGCTTTGAAATACATTGTTTTCAGTTGTCATTTTAGGAGGACATAAAAACGCCGTTATCTATTGACAAAAAAATGGTACCGTGTGATCAAAATAAAAAAATACATAAACACTAATCTTGAAGTTAGAAAAGTGAAACATTTTCCTCTTACTGAATAAGACTTGAACCTTGAGGCCCCCCAACACCCACCCAAAAAAAGTTGAGTTGGTAGCAACATCAGCAACCCAACAAGTCCTGTTTAATGGTTTCTAAGAAAGTACTTCTTAACCTAGTGAGGCAGGGCTCTCCTGACAGGCGATGACCGAGGCTATCAAAAAGGCCGGCAATGTTCGTGAGTCAAGCGCAGACTAATCTTGTATTCCTATTGACTGCAAACATGTTCAAAAACTTTTTTTTTTTTTTTTAAATCTTAATAAACAGTTGTTTACATGCGTCTTTGTGTTGCATGGCAGAAATCAGCACGAAACAGCTGAACTATTTAAGGACTGTCAATAAACCAGGTGTCTGTAGTGGTGACACATGAACAGGCCACCAGCTTTAAAGAAAAATGAAGCCTGATCAGAAGTTCTCCTCAGCAACAGCTAAGAATGATGATGTGTAACCAAAGTTTTACTATTTTAATAATGTGTAACCAAAGTTTTACTGTTTTAATAATGTGTAACCAAACTGTTTTACTAAATAATCAACGCATAATCAACTGATATATATTAATCTTTAAGACATTGTATAATCCTTTGTATGATTGTGTGAAGTGGTAAAAGTAAAAAGGCCTCATGTAACAGAGGAACAAGTCTGGACATGCCTCAAGCCATAGAGGAAAACAGGAAGTCACAAGGTTTAAACACGACTCCTCTCATGATGACTCATCTTTGAGCAAAACAAGTTTTGGAAAGTCCCAGAAATCTGGTCTAAACCGGTTGAGGTGCAAAACAGCACAGAAGTTACTGGAAAAGAGATGATGTAATTTTCCATAACCCCTCCTTAAGAGGAGGAGGGATGAATGAGTCTTTAAATACAGACTGACCAGAATAAAGCTTGGTCAATGCAGAGTCGAAGGCTGAGTGGAAGAGCTGAACAGAAGGTACTACGGCAGAGAGCAGCTAGAGGATCAGAGACGCCCGAAAGAAGTTGGATTATATCGGTTTGGGACAAGGCTGGGGATCTACTTCTTTTTCTACTGAAAATGGGATTGGAATAGGTCTCCACTTGCAACAACAGACTGAAGAAGGATCCTACTTCTAAAAAGCTTGACCCGGGCTCGTCCAAAAAACTCTGAATTCTCCAATTTGGCATAAATTGCTCCTGTCCTAGGGTAAGGCCCACATCTCCCTCCTGGAGAGTGGGAAATATGCCGTTTACTGACACAAAGATTCTCTGAGAGACACCTCAGAATCATGGTAAGCGGACTACCCTGTCCTTCTGGTCTAATTAAATTGTTTCATCAAATTGGAAGAACAGTATACAGAATAAATTTGGGAGTACTAAATTGGCTACTAGTGAGATTTGCTCGAAGGTGTTTCTGGTTCATGAGGGAGTTGAGAGAAAATATATTTTGGCTTGAGTTGTGAAAGGTCTATGTGAAGGTAGTATCTGTAAAACCCTTCAAGGGCTCTTGAGGTTTAGAGTTTCACAGATAGTAGTCACCACCATATTAGGGAAGAAAGTGTATCCTATGTACTCATGAAAATTTAATCATTATAAAATCGTGCCTGTTGCTGTACCCCTGCGCAAATTATTGATTAAAAGCAAAGCAAAATGTATAAATTTGGACTATTATTTCATTCTTATCAATTAAATACATGGTAAAGCTTGGTTCATTTATCAACACCAATAATAGGAGGTTTTTGTAAAGGTTTCCTAGCTGATAAACAACATCCTTGAGCCCGTTTCCAGGGCCCTAAAGATTACCAGAACGGTTAACAATTGCAACGCTAAAGTGAGAGGTGAGCGGCCACAACGCGAGTTTCTCTGGACCAGAAGATCCATCCCGGCTGCTTGAAGGATCGAGGTACAGAGTGAGATCAGGGTGTGACTCACGGATTTAAGGTCGTTAATATTCTGGATGAATCACCTCGTCGCAGCCTTAATGAGGTTATTTTAGACAGCTGCTGGTAACACCATGGCGCTGAAGTAAACTCCCGGACCCCTTGGAGGAGAGGCTGCAAGCAAAGGTGCTTATCGCTAATTCCAGTGGTTACCTTTTGCTCATCGGAAAGCAGACATGGCACCCCAGATGGGACTAGAACGGTCCCAGAAGTGAGGACGCGCTACAGAGGACTGATAGGCGTCAGTAGAGCAGCTCTAGAGAGTAAGGAGCTGTCAGTAACTGGGAGACCCCCCCAGTTAGTACCCCCAATGGATCACTAGAGGCTAGTGAGGAGGGGTAGAAGGCTTACGAGGGTTACTGACCATAATCCAGAATCGTAGGTAAGCAGCTAGTCTGTCCTAGTCCAAAACGTTAGGATAAAGTCTGGAGACTTTGAGGACCGACAAACTTGACCCGACAAGAAAAGACATAAAGATGGCCTCAGGAGAGGCATCTACGAGTGTAGAGCCAGACAAACTCGAGCCGGCTCAGGAGAGCCAAGAAGAACAGAAGCCAGTAGAAGGAAAGACAGATGGCCAAAAGATAATGGTACAAAGTACAGGAGGAAAACCAATAAGAGTGACCAGGGTGGAAGTCATCCTATATGGAAAAGGGTATCATACCTGGAATCCAGCAGTAAAGGAAATACTAAGAGAAAGTAATCCCCAGCTAGATGGAAAAGCTCTAGAGGACGGACTGGAAAAATTTATAAGAGAAAAAGGAAAGTTTTGCTGTACGACAGCCCGGAAGGGAGTCCAAACAGTGGTGATAAAAGACCCAGGCGAAGCAAAATCAAAAAAAGAAGTAAAAACGTGGTTACAATGGTGGGTGCAACAGATAGAGAAACAAAAACAAACGACCATAGTGTCAGTAATTAGCCCCTCAATCGAGTATGACCCCATAGTAAAGATGATATCCAAAGTGACAGGATTAGATGGGTATATCACAAACCCTACATGCAGGGCAACAGCAAAATATAAAGAGTGTGAAGAAGAATTGGCAAGGATGAGGGAGTATAGGAAAGAGAAAAAATCAGAAATGGATCCTGAAAGTGAGCACAGCTCCATAGCACAAACCCCCGAAGCGTCGGAAAATGAAGAAAACCAAAGCGAACCAGAGGATGTAGTTTTAAAGAATATACCCCCCCTCAATATTAAAAGGGAAGGAGAATACCCAGGAGGCACAAGGCTATGGCAGGGAGCTTACCCTTCAACCTCTAATCACCCCCCCACGTTCGTGAGCTCCACTCCAAACCTGAGTGCGTACAGAGAAACTCCCAAATACCATTCTGATACAGATGAGGAAGCCAGAGCAGAGCAACTGAGATTACTAGCAGGTATGATCAAAAAGGAAAACGAACCTGAAGAAAGTAATGACAGCACAGGGTGTAACGA